TAGGAAATTTCTTTTCTAAAGTCCATGTGAAATTTTTCAGATATATAATTACTTTTGATACCTACTGTTTTATCATGAAATGTTTCAATTGGATGTTTTTGTCACATGATTTTGGGATGCTAAAAAGCACCACTGTCGTTGAATTTTGATGTATGTACACACAAGCATGTATGTGTTTGTTTACCTTGAAACACACTCAGCAACGACGACTAATGCTTTCCTTGCAATAACATCCATATATTTTATTCAGTGTTGATGGATGCACATGGATACAATTTTCTAATCCGAGTCACACTTGTGTTATTCTGGAGCAATAAGTCAACCTCACAATCCCAGTCGCCATGTATTTATTCCAAAATAAATAATGTTACGCTACGTAAGAGCGTTGTACACAGGGTTGGGTGGGAGTTTTAATGTTTTAATTTCCATTAAATATTTTATTTGATTAATTAAGAACATGACTTGCCTAGTTCTATTTATTTTAGTTTTTCTACTAATTCCCCCCGACTCCTGCGGTTAGATGAAAAAATTTCTGTTTCTGGGACATTGAACTAAAGGCAAGGTTTTCTCTATAGATATTTTCTTACTTAAATTGTTAAAAATATATATTTAGCTTGAGTAGCAGTAATATTATGAAATCATTTTAGATTTGCGGATTTTGGTATTAAATTTTGTAAATTGTGTTGATAATTGTTACGATGTTAGTTGTAGTTATTAATGTTCATGTAGAGAGTGCTCTGAAATAAGTTTTATTTTATCATCAATCCACCCAATGTTTTCTGAAATTATCTAAGCAAAATGGATTGTTATTGACAAGATATCTGATGATTTGGTGTTGTATAACTTCTTTTCTTGTGGTGAACAAAAAATCACAACCGTAATCGATAAGCAAAATTAAAAAAAAAAGCAGTACATTGTGATCATATTTTTGCCAAATGGCTTTTACCTTTTACGCCGATCAAATTCAGATTTCAACCACAATGTTCACTGCCTTGTTATCTTGTCTGGTTTGGTGAGCAACATCTTCTCCATAAATTAGCTAACCTTCTTTGTAGAGACACACCTCACTGTTTTTTTTTGTTTTTACATTGTTGCTAAATCCTCAATTATCTCAAAATATGGAATCTGGGGAGCAAAACCAACAGCCAAAACCATGACTATTTATACGCAACCCATTTTGCTCAGAGAAAGGAACTATGTAAATAATGGATTCAGTTGCCACGGTAATGTGTTACTCATAACAATGATGTACCAAGTGATTCTTAATGATTACTGTATCATGTTGGGGAAAAAAACAAACTGGTTCTTTGTCAACTTTCACAAAGATCCCAGCAACCAAAGTGTCTTATATTCTGTGGTGATATCTATACTATGTTATTTAATTTTTATTGCCACTGTCTTGATATAAATAAAGAATTTAGAGTAAACCTGTGTTCTGAATATCTTTTTTTTGTAAGTACCCTCAATAAACTGTGACATTGAAATTTACTTCTGTGTGCATGTCTATGACGTTTTTGGAACAAACCACATTCAAACTGCACATATACTGATAAGCATGTCACTGAATGTGGTTCAATTTACTTCTAAAAATGTATCAAAATTGAACATTTCTGCCAATTCAGATCTTGATTACATCCAGCGGGTTACTGATGCACAAATTTGTTGATTTAATTTTAAAATGCCAATTGATGATAATTTTTATTAAAAAAAACAAGTTTCTTAGACATGCCTTGAATAATATCAAACTTGGCACTGACATCAGTCATGATGGGTTAGTTTATTTTGTGATTTGCTTCACAAAGGTAGACTGGTGGCCATGGTGGTGTTATTCTGAGTGTGTCTTTTTCTTGAGCATCCTTTGACTGATTTAGACAATAGTAGTACATTGGCATGCTGATTTGTTTTTGTGTTGATGACCTTTGACTGACTGGTTGCTATTTTTGTAAAAACACCTAAAAAATGCCATAAACTGTTTCTTGGGCATGCCTGGGATGATTTCTTTCAAACTTAATGATTTACTGATGCACATAAGTTTTATTTGTAATTTCGAATTTGTGAAATGAATTTTGTAATACTATTACCGTATGACTGAACACACCATTTCCTATGAGCTTCAGCAGATGGGATTTCTTGCCATTTGCACTAGGCAGATGATTTTCCAACTCTCCATAATTGGTCACGTAGAAGGGGACAAAACAAGAATTTGAGGTGTGTCCTTCAATGACAGTGTGGCCAAATTCGTAGCCGACTCGCATTAAGGACCAACCACCTCTTCGGGGGTAAAAATAGATCTCATGAACAAGCCACACCTATCTGCATTCCTTGGATGACTAGAATTGTGGACCAGTGATGGCTTAGAATGTCAGATTGCATATATTTCGCAGCAAAAAAAGTTTACGAGAATTCTGCATGATTTGTCTTTTTGACTTTGTTTAAAAAAAAATATATTCTCCCTGCTTGAATTCACTAGTAATTTGATTAAAGCGGGAGTGTTGTCACCTGTGCACGCGCGGTAATTGAATCCTAAGGGACGATAACAATACATGCTAATAACACAAAGGCTCGTGGGTAGACGCTTGTTTGTAAACAATGACACGCTATGGCCATCTGACGCATGCGTAGGTGACGACTCCCTCGCTTTAAAATGTGATAACGTCAATTATACCAGTGATCATCTAGCAGCAGACATGCACACACATGAAGAAATTTACAAATACTCAGTTGAGCTATTTTGAAAACAGAAAACAAGTTTTCATAATTAAGTACTTGCATCAGATATTGCATTGTTCTTGAAGGGATTTGATTCCTAATTATAGTTGTACAGCGCCCTCGTCTGATTTGAGTTTTAGTGCTGTATAAAATGTACCTTACCGAAGCTACGAATCCTTTCACAAATGTATTCGTAAATGCCCATCAGCCATGTATAAATGTCATTCTCTTCTGAATCTTCTAACACTGCCCTCTGGTGGCAGCTATCTAGTGTATTGCACCACAGACAATATTAAAAAGGAGCATTTATCCAAATAATCTCAATGTGCACTAAGAAATGTGATGTGTACATTTCTTCCCCATTGCGAATCAACAAAAATATCACAATGCAAATTCAAAGAAAAGCTTTATTTGTATTTTATGGGCCTACATGTGCTGCTTATCGTGACAACGCCACCTCGGTCATTACCAACTTATGCATTCTTTTGTACAATATTCACATAAAAATAAAGTCTTAAATTCGCAATTTTATTTTATCAATCAGTATAAAATCACTGCATTTAATAATTTCAAGATTTCATTATAGTACAATTATAAACTAACATTACATTGTGAATATACAATTCATCCGATGTTTGCAGTCAGACATAATTCACTCTCAATGTTCCTGAGGATTGTAAATTAAATTCATGTACAAATTCAGAGTAGACTTTGGGTAATAATAATACGATACAAAATTTAAATTGGTTGCATTCTTGAATGCATACAGTCAAATTCATGAAATATTTAAACCTTGGAATTTGATTTTGTTGGTTGTATTATAGGAATGAGATTTTACAGGTTTCTTTTAATCTTGGTCAATTTACTGTCATACACTCGTTAACATGTTGTGATTAGTAAAGTGGTTTTGTTTGGAATTTATAAATATATAGAAAAATTCACACCTTCATGAAATTCACTGTATTGAACTGTACAATGGAATACTTATTGGCATTTACATAATCTAAAAATGTTTGTAGTACAAAATTTAAAAAAAAAAACATGACTACTGTCTGTGGGTAATCTCACACAAGTATTCTAAATGTAAATGAATCTGGATATTAAAATTACGAAGCAGTTACAAAATATATACAGTCACTTTTAACAACCTTTGGTGATTCAGGTTTTTTCTATGAGTGTTTTTCTGCATGGAAATCTAAGTATAACATTTCATCTGGTATAGACTGGTATAGTAGTTTTATAACATTGTAATTTAATTTAATTTAAAGCATACCTTTAGATTTTTGTAAACAAAGATTGATTGTTTTTAAGTTTTAAAACTTTGAGCAAGTACCTCACCCAATTAAATGTAAATATTAGAATTAGTTATTAAATCAAACCTTGTTTCCATGACTGGAATTCATGCACGTCTGAGATACAGTTGTATAATGGTTTAAAATGTGATTTTGTGGTGCATTTTTGGCCTTAAAATGGCTGCCATTTGGCCATCTTGAATTAGATCATGGAACAAATGCATGTGCATATGTTCGATATGATGTCTTATGTATGTGTAAAGTTTGAATTTAATCGCCCGAAGCATGTGTGTTTGGGTATAGACAGACAGAAGCACCAAGACTGAACAGGGACTAAAAATAGAAAACATGAATGTAAACTATACGATTCAGTGGCACCGATGAAACAAGTTTGCTTTTTGTTTTCTTTTTCACAATCTGGTTTACAAATCTGCAGCAAACTAGTCTGATCTTATTGACACTATGTACTACCTGTACCAGTATATTAAATATCAGATATTGGAGGGTTTACCCCATAAAAATCTTTCAATCCAAAAGACCAGTTTCTGAAAAGTTTCTCTTTTGCATTTCCTGTAAGCTAAAATTTTGTAGTCAAAACATGGTCGAATATTCTTTAATATTAAGTTTAGTGATTACCGGTACATTGTCTACATAATTTAAGTTTAGGGAATCAACATTTTGGAAGTGACTCGCTACAACATCGGATGAAAAATCTCAGGCGTTTTGAAAAATATATATGGTTCAATTAATTTCATAATTTAAAAATCACTATTTATTGGAGGCAGTGAACTGTATCCGATCACCTTCAGCCATCTTTTGATGGAGATACTCCAGATTATCTTTATTGGGAGTTTGAACATTAGGAGAAGATGGTGCAATTAACATATCATCATTATCAAACAGATCTTGACTGTTCTCATCATATTCAAAAGTTTGGTCACTGTCTGATTCTGCAGCTACTTTATTATAATCTTTAGATGAGGTCCTTAAAGTAGAAACATTGGTATCACCTCCACTCTCCTCCTCAATATCACTTTTTTTGTTGGCAATGCCTTTTTTGAATAACACCAATTCACAGTCATTGTTACTTTGACTGTTACTACTTTCCTCCAACAATTGTTTGTCTGTGTTGTTCGGTTCCTCCAGTTCTTGTTTGCTACTTGTTTCTCCAGTACTTTGTTCATCACTTCCATAAACTTTGATTTGTTTCTCACTATTTTCTTTCTGACCTATTTTTCTCTGATCACACTGTTCAGGAAGAACTTCCTGTGAAAAAAATAAATCAAATTCACTGTCGTCATCAGTCTCATCATTTGTGTTGTAACCTGTGTTGCTGTGGCAACTAATATTTGTTGCTTGTGAATCAAGCTCATCCTCCTCTTGTTGTGGAATGTTCTTCCCAGATGTTGATGAAATTTGACTTTCATCATCTGGTTGTAGTGAACGATTTTGTCTCTTGGCAACAGTTTTGTAATCATCATCTTCATCATCAAAGAGACCGGAAATATCCTCCTTCAAGCCTGCAAAAATAGATCAACAAATTGTTTTTGGTCAGTTCCAAGACTGTGTTCATAAGATGTCTGCTCCTGCAATATCTTTTTTACACAATTTTATCATCGCATCGTTTGTTTGAGAATGTTTGTACAAGAAACAGATCTATTTTCCTTGGCCTAACAGGAATTAATAAAATGACAATTGAAAAAATTAGAGCTTTGCTTGAATGCTTGGTGTATAAAAGATCATGGTGTACTGTCTTTTCTGGCAAACTAACAATTAACAAGCCATGCATGGCACAGTCCCTGTTAGTTATCAAATTTAGCTGATGCTTGATTATGATGATTTTTTAACATTAAAATGATTAATGTTTAGTCATCTTGTATGTGATCGTCAAACAAGTACTTATTGAGAGATATAGATCTGGAACAGCATTAATTAAAACAAAATGGCCAATGGTTAGCCATTTTGAATTGAATCATTAAACCAATAAATCTGTAGATCTATGACATGATGTATAATGAATATTTAAAATTTTAACATAATCAGTCCGAGATATGGCTCTTCAGTAACATTCAGTAAAACAAAATGGCCACCAATCAGCAATTTTGAATCCAATCTTAAAAACAAACTGACATGCATCGCATCAGGAACCCATAATGTCTAATGTATGTACCAAGTTTGAACAAAATCTATCCATAAACGACCAAGACTCGATTCTGGAATACCAGAAATGCTTGATTTTTTTTTATCACAAAAAGAGCCACCATTTGGCCATTTTGAATTGGATCGTCAAACCAATACAACTGTTTATCTATGACATAATGTATAATGAATATACAAAATTTTAACATAATCAGTCAAAGCATGTCAAAGATAGGGCTCTAGAACAGCATTCATTAAAACAAATCCGGTTCTGGAATGCCAGAAATGCTTGATTTTGGAAAATTTTTCAGCACAAAATAGGCCACCATTTGGCCATTCAAATCCAATCTGAAAAACAAATGACGTACATCACGGTCCCAGAATGCCCAATGTATGTACCAAGTTTGAACAAAATCCATCTGTAAACAGCCAAGATCGGGCTCCAGAATGCCAGAAATGCTTGATATCGATGAAATGGCCTTGAATCGTAAAACAAATTGATGTGCATCAAATATTATGTATGTGTGAAGTTTGAATGTAATCAGACTAACATATAGATTCGAATGCACGCATGGACGCACACGAAAAGGTCAATCCATGAGTCCCCATTTTCAGATGGCATCCAAACCGGGACTAATAAGTAATTTCATTTTGATTTTGTGAAGACATAAATCACCTTTAGAAGTGACAACACTACTAATAATATTATCCAGTATAGTGCTACGTATAATGCCAATGTCATGTCTTTCTTGATGTGTGAACAGTACAATCCATAAACCTCAGAACTGACATTAGTCAACAACAATTTTTTTTGGATAATACAACACAGAGTACGTATCAGGGAATTTTTTCTCGCCAAATCCATTAATATTCTCAAATAGAAAAAATTCAAGAAGTAAAAATGGTTTACATACTAGTACTTAAATAAGACATGACATAAATTGATTATTTGTAAATTTCACTTTTTTGTATAATAATAATCCTTGTAATGATCTTTATTACCGTATATTTAATAATTATTATATTTAATTTACATTCTAATTATACATTCTATATTTGTAATGTATGGTATTTTGGGGGCTGAGCTACGTCACAGAACGTTCTTATTGCTTGGATGTACACCACTGTACAATATATTTCTATGGGCTCTGCACAAGCTGTTGTGAAGTCCGTGAAAACAGTTAAAGTTGAGAAAACAGCAAAAACCCAACTTTGAAGTAATCCTGGGCAACCAAATTTATGCACAATGCACATGTAGGGCTAATCTTGTTACCCTGTTCAGGGGAGTCTCAACAACTTGCCCAAAGTATTTGTTCCCGAGAGTTGTTTGTTTTTGTTTTCCCAAGTGATGGTTGCCAGGCGATGGAAATGTCTGGATGTCATCCCCAAGAATAGATTAATATTATACGTGTAGGTACAATTGTCGTACTGCTTTCATGCATACTTTGTGATATTCTCATTATAACTTTGTGTTACGAATATAATCTATGTAGGTATGGTACAATTAAACCTGTCACCTCCAAAGTTTAATTAAGTCAACAACGCCCAATCCTAGTGAACCTTTGAACTTTTAGAAAGTGGTATTACAGTACACATGTGAATGAGCTTTTGAGAAGTGCCACACAGTCACCACGACTGTTACCATAGCAGCAGCAGCATGATAAAAGATGAATACAAACAAATTTAATATTGACAGGGCAAGGAAACCCACCTGGCAGACTCAGATCTGGACAAAAGTAGTCTGCATGATAAGTTTATCCCAGGTAGCTTTAGAAATGATACTGGTAAGTGAATGCTGTATCTATCCAATTCTGTACTATTTAATTTTGTCAAAATTTGACTCAAAGTTGTGTGTGTGTTTTTTTTTCAAAAAAAAAGTGTTATTTATCGAAAATACAGTCGGAACATAGTCAAAAATAACCATATAATATTCATTAACTTATCGAGCAGCATCAATTTTGTGTGATTTTCAGCGTATTTTTATAAAGTATTTTTAGGAATTAATTTTTGACCAGATGGGCATAATTTTCTGTTGTGTATAGGTTTTGAAAAACAGTTTGGATAATACCGGTATATATTTAAAAAAAAATATGGGAATTTATTTTTGAGAAATGAGACAGACAACAGGTTTTGTTTACTACTTCTTAATTTCAATTTCAGGTTACACCTATTTTATTTATTTGTAGGCAAGCATAAGCTCATTAAAAGTGAAACAAAATCACTGGCGAGTCTGTTGGAAGGGTGTAAAGTTCATTCTACCCTTGAATAGGGGAACAAAACAACTTATAACAAAGATTTTTCCCAGGTACAAGAAATAAATTACCGTAAGGTAGAATGTTCGTTTTTGACAAAGGAACATATAGCAGTGACATTATTCCCTGTCAAAATTATTGTAGTAGTTTTTGAGAAAAACAGCCAAATAATATGCAGTTTTCACGGACCACATTTCGTCATTAAAAACACCCTAAAAATATTGTCAGTTTTATAATTTATTCTCAGTCCCTCTATCAAGGACTGTGATTTATTTTGCCATCATGCTTTAAAAATCACAACAAAAATAATAAGATTATTTATTGGCTTCAAGAAAACTGACATCCCTCTCTCATGACCTTTGAGTTCATGTTCATGTAAAAACAGTTATGTCCATGATTACGGTATATCAATTATAATCTTACTCTGCAAGAGACATTATGTGTGACCCACAAAGGTCATACTGTATAATACATTGCAATAGATACATACCATTTTAGCGAATTTGTCTCCATGCATGAATTACCTGAATCTTAATTTTAATAGCTAAAGTGCCAATAATCTTACTGTGAAAATATACTCTATTCTAATTAGCGGCATCTTAATTTAGCGAAATTACAGATTAGCTAAATTAGCTAAAATAACGTGCTTGCTAAAACAACATGTTTTACAGTACATCCTGGCACTTTGCTTGACCCTAAAGGTCACACATCTTGGTACTTTCTGGGGGTATCAAAGCAATAACTTCCATGCCATGTGTGACTGTTTTTTTGTCAACTTCATTGACAACTTCTTCATTTTCGGAGGGAAGGATACTGAAATTATACACCCAGAAAATACAGGATATGTGAACTTTGGCAGGTCAAGCATACCTTACATTATAGTTACTACTTTGAAACCTGGCTTGACTTTCTACTTTCCATTTCATAATATTTCCTGCCAAAATTGTAATGAAACATTATTTAATTTCTCATATATATTTATCTATAAATTTTGAACTAAATGGAAATCATTTCCACTTGTTGGGTAATGGGTAATTTTATTAACACTTACACATTCCCCGGAGGGATTGGCAATGGTTACAAAAGTTTAAAAAGGAATAAAAGGTTACAAAACAGAAAATAGATAAGAAAAAAAAAAAAAAAAAAAATCTAAGCTAATACATTACAGATAATAGCTAGTATAAAATAATGATACTACGATAGATAGAAAACAAAATGCAAAACTCAAATAGTTACTCAGCTTGATCAACAGTTGTGAAAATATGAAACCAATTACTCTGGATTATTCTGTGACAGATTTATTGTAAGATTCTACACACTGTGGTTTGTTTTAGCACAGTCCTTAGACTTTCCTTAGTTGTCTAGGGTTTTACGCAGCAAACAGAAATTTACTAAGAAACTACTGTAAACAAAATATTGGATACTTGTACACAAATGTGAAGAAAGGATTTGACCAGAACAATGTAAATTTGCATAAACATAAACAATGCCCCTGAACAACCTGCCCTCCCCTCAAACATAATGGTATAACCCCCCCATGCATGAACACAAAAGCTGAGCATAATCATCTGCTGGGGGGTCATGAAGGGTATAAAATAAGACCGTACATAGAGAGAGAATCCTATTCTGAGTGTTGGAATTCCCTGTTTTCACAGCATGAACTGTAGACTGAGTAATATTGTGGCCTTAGTGTATATATGCTGACTGAGTAGAGACTGGAGACTGTTCCACTGCCAAGGTAAGTGACATCATGTACATGTGAAATCAACTTTGCTTCACAAACAGCTGGTGAATTCAATCATGTTGTTTTGTGATTCTGTCATACCATGGTCGAAGCTCAGACAGCCTGCTTTTCAATCTACTCTGTGCATATACATATATTTGTAGTATAACTGAGAAGGGATTTCACATCACCGTTAGACCTTACTCAGGTGGCATGCATGGTGTGTCTACGTCTATACCCATAGTATCAATAAGCCTTGAGGCACAAAAGCCTTTTGTACTCCATTCCCAAAAGTCCCTACAACAACTACAACATGAATGCTATTTCTAATTTCACAAATTAAAAAATAGACCAAAGTCACATACACATTTCAGTATTTTTTTGTAGATTGCTGTCCTTATATAGCCTTGACCTGACTTGAGGTAAAATTGTTTTTGTTTGTTCGGTGGGCTAGCTACATTTGTATACCAGTATGCCTTATAGGATATGCGCCTTGGCCAGCATGACTGAGGTGAAAGGTTAGGCCATGGTTAGGCTAACAGAGAGAAATACTCTGAGATGTGAACAGTACAAATAATAGAACCTTACACAAAAGGTCATTCTTGTTACAGTCCTCATGGAAGTACAGCATTTCCATCTAATCAATAAGATCATCATCATTCATTTCCAAATGCCATTATCAAGTTTGATTTCCGTGACAACTATTTGATATCTCCTCAGCACTAACTCTGTTAGGTCAATCATTATTGCTTTCATATCCAGGTTTTGGAATTTGACTGGAATGCAATACTGATAAAAATCAAGGAATCAAGTAACAGAATAGGAAATAGAATACAAAATTAGTAGATTGCAAGATAACCGTGTGTAAAGGAATTTAATATCAAATTTAATTATGTATCATCATCATCATCCTACTTGAGTATTTTGTTTTGAGCTAATTATTATTTTGCACTAGCGTCTCATTCTGCTGACTTCTGTCGACAGGGATGTGTTGAGGGGAGGGGAAATATTACGATTTGTATTGTGGAGATGTAATCTTGAAGACTGGGGATAAAAGTAGATTGCATTAGCAATTTTCATAATCTCAAGACAACTTAAAAAATTAACGACCTTTGGCAAAGTTATGAGAAGTTTCGCCATTTAGAGTACATGTAGATTTCAAGTGAACACTTTTTTCGTAGACGATAATTTTCAGTTTCATCAGAATGACAATGCCATAAACTTTGGAATGTGGTATATTGTGAGATAGGAAACTTGTGGCCAAATAAAGCATTGCTGTTCCATTGTGGCATGTGTTGACAGCAATTGTCATAGGAATGCATGCACTATGCATTTCACACTAAGCTTTGAAAAAAGTTGCATTTTAGACAGAAACATGTGCTGTGGACATTTATTTTTAACTGAATAAAGAACTTACTTCATGATCGATTTGCTTGGAAATACTACTAGGTTAAACACTGGCAGCTGAACAAGCTCTGGATATTTTATTTTATTTTTGTCATGGCTGAAAAAACAAATGGGCAGTTTTCAAAATGATTTTAGTGACAAGCTCTACACAGGGAATGTTCTTACCATGTCATGTAATTTTATATTATTTATTCATAAAACAGATAAATTTCCCATGAGTGGGGCAC